GCGGATAACTAAGTAAAAGGTTATCACTAGAATTCCTTAGATTGTATTTAGATGGGAGCCTAAGAGAAATGAGAGGCGATAAACTGAAGTAGGCGCTAAAAAATTAAGAATCTTAAAAGTAATTAAAAGTATTTTAAACTCAATTCTCAATTTAATCGGCAACCAGTGTAATTCATAAATAAGAGGCGTTACATGACAAAATTTTTGTTCTCTAAAAATCAGTCTGGTAGTCCATATAAAAAGACCATTACAGTCCATATAAAAGACCACTACAATAGTCAAGACGACTTGTTATGAATGCATGGAAAAGTATCTCAGATGACTGCAGTGAAAGAAGAGGCACAGATTTTTGTGATGTGTGATGCCATGGACAGCTTAGAATCAAACCAACAACCAAGATATCTCGCGAATAGCACGGGATGAATATCTGAGTCACCCACACGTATACTGATATTATCTAGCTTTCACCTAGCGTAGATAAGGGTGAACGTGGTAGAACATGGGTAACCTAGGTTAGCCATGTTCTACCACGTTTACCCTCATCTACCCTAGGTAACCCATGTTCTACCACGTTTACCCTCATCTACCCTTGATTACACACGTTTTTCCACGTTCACCTCCATCTACCCTAGGTTAGCCATGTTCTACCACGTTAACCCTCATCTTCCCTAGGTAACCCATGTTTTACCACGTTTACATCCATCTACCCTTGATTAACCATGTTCTTCCACGTTCACCCCCATTTACCCTAGTTTAGCCATGTTACACCTCGTAGGAATCATGGCTTATTATTTATCGAAGCAAAAAAACCACGGCCGTCAACTTGTTGCACAATACGCCTCTAAATCCGTGGTTTTTTTGCTTCGATAAATAATAAACCATCATTCCTACGAGGCGTAACACGGCTAAACTAGGCTAAATGGGGGTGAACGTGGAAGAACATGGTTAATCAAGGGTAGATGGATGTAAACGTGGTAAAACATCGGTTATCTAGGTTAGATGAGGGTTAACGTGGTAGAACATGGCTAACCTAGGGTAGATGGGGATAAGCGTGGTAAAACATGGGTAATCAAAGGGTAGATTGGGGTAAACGTGGTAACACATGGGTTACCTAGGGTAGAAGAGGGTGAACGTGGTAGAACATGGCTAACCTAGGGTAGTTGAAGGTGAACGTGGTAGAATATGGTTAAACAAGGGTAGATGGGAATAAACGTAGTACAACATGGCTAACCTAGGGTAGATGGGGTTAAACGTGGTAGAACATGGTTAACCAAGGGTAGATGGGGGTTAACGTGGTAGAACATGGCTAACCTAGGGTAGATGGGGGTAAACGTGGTAGAACATGGTTAACCAAGGGTAGATGGGGGTTAACGTGGTAGAACATGGCTAACCTAGGGTAGAT